CCCTTTAATTAGAAACAAACAGAGCAGGATTTTAGGGCCTGTTCACACCAAAATTGGACCGTAAGTCAACAGTCAATGGCAATTTCAACCCCCATTGCCTTCAGCACACTGCAACACAACCCAACTGTCAGGATACCGTGCGCGGGTGTCCCCACACCGCATACAGGTACCCACACGGGAGGACCAAATGCGTGACCACACCAGACAATGCCTATGAGCTTATGAACGTACAGTTTATTAGACACACCGAAATCATATAGACACAAGCAAACCCCACCAACACCCACAAGTAACAAACAATAGCCAACTAAATACAAACAGCGAAAACACACACAGAAGGTAACCGGGCTAGTGAACCTGGCCTGGGAGCAGGGCAACAAGAGGGGAGCCACGGATCAATAGTCAGGGTTCAAGGAGGCAACAGGATACAGGATGCACGATACAGGACTGGAACAGGATGCAGAGTACAGGAACAGGATGCAGGATACAGGACTGGAACAGGAACAGGATGCAGGATACAGGACTGGAACAGGATGCAGGGTACAGGATGCAGGGTACAGGAACAGGATGCAGGATACAGGCAACATGACAGAGATTAGGGCAACAATACTGTGGCAAAATCCTCACTGCAGAGAGGGATTAAATACCCTCCCAGATTAGCACCAGGTGGTGATCAATTGATGACACCTGCGGGTGAGCCCTGGAGCTGCAGGATCCGCTCCAGCTCCACAGCGCCACCTGGAGTTGTCCTGGTCCCTGACACCAACACAACACAGTGGTGTGAACTGGTCCCATTCACACCCATACATTTTTCGGGTTACCTTCCGTTGGCATCCGTTGACATCCATTGAAAATCGGATGCTAATGGATTTGGTGTGAATGGGGCCTTAATCAAAACAGTGGATAAAATAAAAGCCTTATATGTCCTCAAACAGCACAGCGTTTAAACAAACCTACATCATCCGGGAGAAAACAAAAGAGAAGGGCGCCCACCCTAGTGTAGATTCTTTTTAATATTGTATATAGAGGTAACAATAAAACCATACTCACAAAAGTGAATCAAGACAGAAGTGTATAAGGTAAGCCAGAATGACATCTGCAACAAGCTGCACAGAAGATTGTGTGACAGCACAGGACTCCTTACGATGATGCGTTTCCGGGGCCACGCCCCCTTCGTCAGTTCTGGAAATCATCCATTTAGGGTTTAGATCTACTCTAAGAAAAAAAAAATATTACATTTAAAAAAATATTTTAAACATAAACTGATTATTTTTCTATTTTTGTCACCAGCTCTACCAGTTGATTTTAAAGAGCCTTTGAAAAATGTCGAAGTTACGGAGGGCGAAGCGGCATCTCTGCGCTGTGAGCTCAGTAAACCAAACCATTCCGTAGAGTGGAAGAAGGGAACCGATGATCTGACCCATGGGGATCGGGTCAGCATCAAACAGGATGGCTTGGTGGCTGAGCTTATCATTCATCCTGTTACCATAGAGGACGCCGGGACCTATAGCTGCAGACGTGGTGACAAGATGACTACGGCAGTTTTGACCGTCAATGGTAAAAAAAAAGAAAAAGAAAAAAACAACTAAACAATTTGGGCAATTTGGTGTATTATTTGTTACCTGCACGTGAACCTAAATTAAGAGCGGTTAAGGTCTGGAACTCACTGCCATCGGCAGTGATTTCAGCCAAGAGTGTAGATTTGTTCAAGAAACTTTTGGACAATTTCTTGAGGGACCGTAATATCCAGGGATACCAGTATCCCTAAGAATGAGATGATGCGTGGACCTATATGGGTTGGACTTGATGGACGTATGTCTTTATTCAACCCCAAATACTATGTAACTATGTAACCTTTTCAATTTCTAGATTTGCATGTCTCAAAGGGTTTTTCATTTTATTTCCATTGTCTATTATATTTGTATATATGATTTATATGTACAGCAATTTTGTGCATTTTTAAAATAATTTTTTATTATGTCCAGAACTAAAAAAAATGTAACTCAATATTATTAAACTAAACTATTTAACATTATTTTGGAGTTAAGTTTACTTAAAGTGAAACTAAACTTAAAAGTTAAATCTTTCAAATACCTGAACTATGACCAACAATGTATCTTATTTGTGTATCACTCGGCTGTAGATCTTCCAATCATCTCTGAATTGGTACTGACACTGTTCTTCCTTCTGGAGGGGGGGCTACTTTTGTTCGCCATGGTCCCTGTGTGTTGTAAAGTAGTCACCGCTCTAAGCTCCCTCCCGGGAAGCAGGCCCGGTGCTGCCACTAGGCTAACAAGGCAGCCGCCTAGGGCATACTGCTGCCTAGGGTGCGGCCTCGAACACTCACCTCCCCCATCTATTTCAGATTGCGAAAACCAATAGCAGGCTGGCTATTGCACCCGCCCACTGTGCAGAGGAGCGGAACTGAGAGACAACTTTCTCTCTCTCAGGTCCGCTCATCTGCTCAGTGGGTGGGGTTTCATAGCCAGCCTGCTATTGGCTTTTTCAAATTAAAATAGCCAATAGCAATCTGGCTATTGCTCCCGGCTGCTTACATTCACCTGTCTCCCGTGGAAGGTAGCCGTCAGGCGAATGGGGTTGCACATACGGAGTGGCGGAGAGATTGGGGGTTGCACTGCGGGAGGAGGGTAAGGGGGGGCAAGTAGCTGGTCTTGCCTAGGGTGTAAAATAGTCTAGCACCGGCCCTGCCAGGATGGACTACAATCTCAATATAAATTAGTGAACTAAACGTGAGATTGTAGTCCATCCCTGGAGTGAACTTGGAGAGGTGACTACTTTACAACACACACAGGGACCATGCGGAACACAAGTAGCCCCCTCCAGAAGGAAGGACAGTGTCAGCCCCGATTCAGAGATGATTGGAGGATCTACAGCCGAGTGATATACAAATAAGATACATTGTTGTTCTGAGTTAAGGGACTTGGATGTATTTATAAGATTTAACTCCGGAGTTTTGTGTCTCTTTAATTTCCTGTTTTATGAAATATATTTGAGCAGAACACAGCTCCTGCTTTGATGGTTTAATTATTTTTTTTCAGCTATTCCAATATTGTTTGAAGAGGAACTGAAATCGGTTGAAGGCACAGAGGGGGAAAACGTCACCCTCCACTGCCGGCTGAACAAGTCGGACGTCTGCGTCGAGTGGCTGAAAGGAGACAAAGTTTTGAGGTCAGGCGACAAGTACGCAATGCGGCAGAGCGGAAGCACGGTGGAGCTCACCATCACTGACGTTGGTATAGAGGACACCGGGGAGTATACTTGTGTGTATGGAGATGTTCGGACAGCAGGACACCTACAAGTCCACGGTAAATATTTTCTTCTCACTCTGTGTGTATTAACAGGATCTAAACACATATCACACCCACTAACATGCACACTGCTTAAACTGGACCTTCCAATAACCTGTCGGGATGACTAAGTTCCTGACAAGCAACAGTATCATTTAAAAGAAAAAAAATGTATCATTAAAAAGCCGTCCTTAGACTCCAGTCCAGTGACTCTGCCTAGGCTAAGATGATGCTATCAGTCTGCTGCAGGCAGAAGGAAGCATTTCCTCAATCTCCCC